ACAACCAATTGAGCCGTCTAGATATAATATTTCCTTCGCTATCTACTGCACTGAACCTCAGTTTTGTAGTTCTATTAGTTTCAGAGATATGATTTTTTATGCCGAAGATGCACGATCTTTTTATCACAACTGGAGGCAAAATTCTCCAAACGAAGAAATTCACGGACATTTTGCTGATGGTTGAGAAATTAAATGTGCTCCCTATGCCTCCTGTGCTATTCAATGCACATTCAGTGCCTCGATTTCCTGCTTTCTTTATTTTTAGAGAAATTATTTTTCTAAGCAAGTGATGCGCGACTCTTTGTTAACGACTGGAGGCAAAATTTTCGCATCTGAAAAATGTATGAACATTTTTCTGATAACGAACGACAAACGAAACGTACTTTATATACAATACATTTTCTTCGCTGTCCAGAGCACCGAAGCCCAATTTCCTGGTCTCGTTAGTGTCAGAGATATGATTTTTTTAAGCAAGTGATGCACGATTTTTTTAGGGCAAATTTATCGAAAAAATTATGAATTTTTTTCTGACGATGAATTAGAAACAAAACGCTCTTCCAATATAGCATATTTCCAGTGCTATCCAGTGCACTAAACCCCAATTTCCTGGTTCCTTCAGTTTTATGGAAGTAATTTTTTTTAACCCAATGAAGCACGACTTTAATAGCGATTGAACCCACAATTTTTGAAACTAAAAAATTCATGAACTTCTTACTAATAATGAGCAAGAAACTAACCACACCGTCTAAATAGACAATTAACTTCATCATTCAGTGCACTGAACCTCAGGTTCTTTGCAGTTTGAGTTTAAGAGAAAATAATTTTTCATGCCATTGATGCATGAGTTTGACGATGGCCGCATTTTTAAAATTCAAAATTTTACGGAAAACTTTGCTGATCACGAACGTGAAAACAATTGAGTCTTCTAGATGTATTATTTCATTCATTATTTAGTGCATTGAACCTTACTTTTATAGTTCTGTTCGTTTCAGACATTTGAATTTTTACACCGGTGATGCTCGGATTCCTTGATTGCAATCAGAGGCAAAATTTGCAAAACTAAAAAATTTGTGGCAAATTTTCTGATGACGAACAAGAAACGAAACGTGCTGTTTATATAACAGATTTCTTGCGCTATCCAATGCATTAAACCTTCATTTTCTCCTTTTTTTAGTTTCAGAGTTATGATTTTTTTGAGTAAGTGATGCACGAGTTTTTTATAACGGCTGGAGGCAAAATTCTCGAATCTAAAAAAATCATGGAAGATTTGTTGTATATGAATGAGATACTGAATGGGTTGGTCATATAGCATGTTTTCTCTGGTATCCAGTGCACTGAGCCTCAATTTCCTGGTTCCTTTAGTTTTAGAGAAATTAATTTGTTAAGCAAGTGATGCATGACTTTTTGATAGCGACCGAATCTTAAATTTTCGAAACTAAAAAATTCAGAAAAATTTTGCTTATAATGAACAAGAAAGAAAGCACTTCTTCTATATAGATAATTTCATTGATTATCCAGTGCACTGAACTTCACTTATATGTTTTTTTTAGTTTCAAAGATATACATTTTTTAAGCAAACGATATACGAATTTTTTAACGCAGCTGAGACCTAATTTTTCAAATTTTTAAAATTTCTGATGATGGACAGACGAAACCTATCAGCTATATAGAACCTCTCCTGACCTATCGAGGACACTAAATCTGAATTTCGTCATTTATCTAGTTTCCCCGTAATGCACTGCTTAAGCAAGAGATGCACAACATGTTTTGAAGAACTGGCTAACTGTCGACAGAAAATTCCTGGAGGATTTTGTAACAATCCAAAGAAAACAGAACTCGCTGTCCATATTGAAGCTCAATTCTGTGGGTCAAGCTCTCTCTATTGCAGACAAATTATTTTTGGAGCAAAAAATATACGAGTTTTTGTGGCTGTTGACGTAAAAATTGTCCGAACTTAAAAACTCCTGGAAGAGCCGCTGATGATGAACCACTAACAAAACTAGCTAAAGTAATAACATAATTATGTCTGTGTCCAGTACACTAATCGGGAATTTTGTGTCTGATTTACTATTACATTTTTTTTACATTACAAATTTTTAAACTTAAGTAAAAATTGCCCAAATTTAAACATTTCTGGAAATTTTCCTGACGACGAGAGAGGGAAAACGCATCTCCTACATAGCTTATAGCTTTTGCTAACCGGCACACTCAACCCCAATTTCTGGGTCATTTTAGTTTGACAGAAATTATTTTTTTAAGCCAGTGAACCACGCAATTTTATAGGCAACTGAAAGCAAATTTTCAAAAACTTAAAAATTCCTGGAAACGGTGTGAAGCTGATCCGGAAACAAAGCTCGTCCCATAAATAGACAATTTCAGTACCCATCCAGCGCACTAAATCCCCATTTTTGTGCTTAACCAATTTCAAAGTAATGGACGTTTTAAATGGGACATGCATGAATCTTTATAGACATCTGAAGTCAACTGCAAAAAAGCAGTTGTCTACCGGTTCAGGCTTACGTTTTTCGAACAAAAATAGCCCTGAAGATGCTGGCATGTCTGCCAGCGAAACATCAGGACCAAATTCCTAGCGACGACGACTTTGTCGTTCTATTCTATCTCTCTCGTTCTCCGTACCGATCACTAGACGAAATTTGGGTATTCCCATCAGTTTACCATCTAAGTGAATTTTCAACAAACAAATAAAAGGAAATATTTGCGCGTTGTTCGTTATCTGCACGCGCCTCATGTTGTATAATTTACAATCACACGTGTGTAAATTGATATTCACTAAGCGGATATGTATGACTATCGCACACAACATTATCTATTGAGAAATCCATTTTATTTTTTTTTGCTCGAAAACTGTACTTGAATAGAACCCGCCCACCGATAGACCGATAGTGCGGTTTACCAATAGGGAGCTATTGCGTTTTGTGTAATGCGGACTAAGGGCGGGCCCACACACGTCTTGCGGTCGCCTTTTATTTTATATACCGAATGTTTCGTGTGGAAGTTAATCGTTTTACTGCCACCATTCATATGGGAACTCGTGACCTTTATAGAATGTGAGCGAACGTTACACTTTGTTAGCAGGGCCTGGCAATTGGGTGGATTCTAAGGCGTTTTACCAGGGTTTCGCCAAATTCTCTATAAAATGTGTTTTCTCTTAATCCGCGGTACTAAGGACCCAAGCTGTGGATCTGAATTTTGCAATTTAGCGTTTGAAAGCCCTACGCTTTTGTTGGGGTTTTAAGGAACAATATAGAAGCGAAAAAAATTACTGGAAAAATTCCCGATGCTTATCCACAACTGAAACTCACCCTGTGTATAGACAATTTTCTTTGATATGTATTTCAATAAACACTAACTTTTTGATTATTTCAGCTTCATAGAAATTCTTCTTCTAAGCATTCGGTGCCGCATTTGTAAACGACGCGACTGTTGGCAATATTTCCGAAACTTAAAAATTTCTGGAAAATTGCCTGGAAAACCTAAAAAAATATTACCTGCCCTCTATATAGAATGTTTTGTTCTCTATCCAATGCACAAAACCCCAATTAAATGGCACTATCGGGTTCAGAGAAATTAATTTTTAAAGTAAGCATTGCACGTTTTTAAAGGACCAAATTAAAAAATTCCTGGCGACATGGCTGATGATGGACCAGACACAAAGTTTGGGTTTTATATAGAACGCTACTCTCTCTCTACTGCACTAAACCTTTATTTCGTAGATCGTCTGCTGACAAAGGAACGAATGTTTTAAGCAAGCATTGTCCGATTTTTTGTACGCTGTTGAAGGAAAGTTGTATAAACCACAAAAATTCGGAAACAACCAGATTATTATCTAGAACCCAAATTGGGGCTGTATATAGACAATTTCCTTCTCTATCTAGCACACTAAGCGATAATTTTGTGCTATTTTTACTTTCAGAGAAATCCATTTTTTAGGCATGACATTTTTGTAAGCGACTGAAGGGATGTATTTCGAAACTTAAAATTTCTTGGAAAATCGCTCGGAAAACATTAAAGAGTAAAACCTGCCCTTCATATAGAAGTTTTCGATCTATCCAATGCACAAAACCCCAATTTTGTGACTCTTTCGGTTTCAGAGAAATTATTTTTTTAAGCCAAGCCAAGCACGTTAAAATTCAAAATTAAATAAATTATCCAGCTCTCTCGAGGCTAATGATGAAACAGATGCAAAAGTTTACGTTTCACATGGATCGCTTCCTTCTCTATCTAGTGCACCAAACTTCAATTTCATTGCTTTTTTGCTCTCAGAGAAACGATTTTTTTAAGCAAGCATTTTGCCATTTTCTGCACGCTATTGAAGGAAAAGTTGTCTAAACTAAAAAAAATTCCTGGAAAATTGCCTGAAGATGACGAAGAGGCTACGCTTTCCACATGTATACAAAATTGTCTCCCTAATAAGCACAATACATTCCAATGTCATTCTCCTACAGGTTTCCCAGATACGTTTTTTTAAAGAAAGTGTTTTACGATTTTTCTCTGGAAACAAAAATCGGTGGAATATTCCCTGATGGTGTCCAAAAATCGAAACTGGCCCCATGAACAGAACAATCCTTTAGCAATCTAACGTAGGCCTGGGTAACACTGTGTTGAGTTGCGCTAGTGAGTTGTTGCCGGTCTCTGAGTTAACGAATTATAACTCATCGGTTAATGAGTTATAAGTCATTTATTAAAGCTTTACAAGATCCGAGACTGGAATTTCAAGTCATTCCAGTTTTAGCAAAGTTTCTATTAAGTAATTCTTTCTACGGAAAAATCGGATTACTTAGAAAACATGTTAATGACCCTTTTTTAGATGTGAAAATTTCAGTCTCGGGTCTCGTAAAGCTTGAATAAATCACTTATAAGTCATGAACCAATGAGTTACAACTCGTTAACTCAGAGAGCGGCAACAACTCAACACAGAGTTACCCAGGCCTATTGGGAATCCCCCAGATCCAGACGATAACCGTAATGTTTTGTTTCAGCAGTTTGTGTAGTCGGCGCTCGCCTGGCGATGGGGAGTGAGCACTATTGCCTGCGCTGGAACAACCACCAGGCAAACCTGCTGGGCGTGTGTGCGCAGCTGCTGCGCGACGAACGTCTTGTGGACGTAACGCTGGCGTGCGCGGACGAGGGACGTTGCATACGCGCCCACAAGGTACCCATCTCCACTCCCACCCTCTGGGTACCATCCGCCCACCTCCCTTCGTTTGCAGGTTGTGCTTTCCGCCTGCTCGGCCTATTTCCGGGCGCTGTTCGTCGACCATCCGGCACGCCACCCAATCGTCATCCTCAAAGACGTGCGCTTCAGCGACCTGCGCACCATCGTCGAGTTCATGTACAAGGGTGAGGTGCGCGTCGAGTACGCACAGCTCAATCGGCTGTTGCAAACCGCCGAAAGTCTTAAGGTTAAAGGTAAGGGTTTGAACATTTTTGTTTCATTTCCTGATGATGTACTAGACGCAAAACTTGCCCCAGGGAATAGAATGTTTCTTTCTCTATCCAACGCAATAAACCCCGGACTTGTCGGTCGTTTGTAGTGGAAGGCATTAATTTGTTTGGCTAGGGCAATAATCGACTAAAATTTTGTCCAAAAATTTAAGTTTTGTTGCAAAAAATCCTGACGGTGGAAACACGACAAAATTTTCATAGTTTGGTTGCTGATCCAGGAAAAAATGTCCAAATTCAAATAGTTTTGGATGACGATGATCGGAGGATGAAATTTTGATCATACGTAGAATCTTTCATCTAGGCCTGGGTAACTCAATGGTTTTTTAGGAGTTGACACAGTGCTGCGCAAATGCCTTGGTGCGCCAACCCAACGCACCGGTGCAGTAACTCAGTTCCGTTGCTGGGAAAATGTTGATGACTTTTTTACTTGTTTTTAGATTTATTTAAAAATACTGGCAATCTTAAGGTATTTTTCGCGAAAAATTACGAAATAAATTTTATTAGAACACTCGCCTCCTTCGTCGCTTTGTAAAAGTTTTGAAATCCCTTTCCATTTTCGAATTTGGGACAAAACTGATATACAGTAAAGTCCGCTTATAATGAACCCGGTTATAGTGAACTTTCGGTTAAAACGAACTTTTTTCCTTTAATTGAAACGTCATCCATAAAAGCCAACGTATTTTTTTTGTTGGTTATAACGATCCTGTTTATAACGAACTTTCGGATATAACGATCACTATTTGGGTTAGTTGTATATTCACTTTCCGTTTATAACGAACTTTCACTCTCAACAACAGCTCAACAAATTCAGATGAAGATGTGTACAATTTTGTCGAAGAACTAGTTAAAACCATGAGTGATTTCAATTTCTTCGAATATGTGAGCATTGATAATGGCTTTCTTACAAGAGAAATGTTGACCGATGAGCAAATTATAGACTCCGTAACCTCATCTACAGCTTTAAGCGATAATGAGGAAGATGACGATTTAGGTGAAACTGATTCTACTGTAGACACTAATGCTGTTCCAACCATTTCTGAAATGACCAAAAAAGTGTTCGAAACTCGGAATTTTCTACAATCACGCCAAGTTCCTAATCATATCTGGGAGTCATTTTGTGATCTTGAAAACTACATAAATAACATCTATTTTTGCAGCAGAAATGTACAAACAAAAATTACAGGCTTTATGAAGTAGATTTCAAATTGTGTTCTGTTTATCTTTTTGTGTTCTTTTTAGTTCTTTTTAGTTACCTACTAACTTCTACTACTCTATGTAAAAATAACGAAATAAAATACATCACGTGTTTTTCTATTATTATTATTCGCTTATAGAGAACTATATAACAAACCAGTTTTTGTTCATTTTTCAAGTTCGTTATATCCGGACTCAACTGTAATTTTTTATCAAAAGACCATCTGAATAAGTGAAAGTTTTTAATAAATTATTTGGAAAACTCATCACTTTCATTCCTCTGACGATTGTAGAGCTTGTTAAAAAAAATGTGGCATTTTAGTTTTGCCTGATTTTTTTTTGCTTGACTTTCCACTCAAAAACGCTCTATTTTGAAGATTTTTACTTAAAAATACTGACAATCTGGAAGTTTTTTAAGCGAAAAATTACACGACAAATTTAGAGCTTTGTAGGAATTTTACAAAAAACTTTTTTCAGCGTTGAGTTCGGGACAAAAACGAAAATAAATTTCTCTCGTTTCTTCCCGAAAATCCTTAAGATTTTCTCAAAAACCGATCACAAAACTAAAAGTTTTTCATCAAAAACGCAATTTTTTTCTGATGGTTTTCTTCTTTTCTGACAATAATGGGCTCTTTACAGCCAAATAATGATGAAAATTAATTTTGCTAGAAAATTCGTCTCATTCATCGGTTTGCAGGGAACTTTAGAAAACCGTTTTCAGCTTCGAATTTGCCACAAAAACCAAATAATGTTATTCAGTTTTTACCGAAACTAGTTAAGATTATCTTGAGAAGGCGGCCAGAGCAAAAGTTTCTAAAAAAATGTTTGGAAAATTCGCCACCCTCATCGCTGAAGAGTTTTCAAGTTTGCTTAAAATTTCAGGTCATTCCAGTTTTAGAAAAGTTTCTATTAAGCAATTCTTTCTAGGCAAAAAAACTATTATTTTTAGTTTTACTTAAAATACTGACAATCTTCAGGCATTTTCTGTGAAAATTATAAAATATATTTTCTTGAAACATTCGGCTCCTTCACAACAGCTTTGTAAAAATTTTTTGGAACCTTTTGCAGCTTGGAGTTTTGGACAAAATCCTAATAATTTTTTCTGTATTTTTTTCCCAAAAACATTTCCCCGAACAGAACAAGGGAAAGTTCAGAATCAATTACCCGGAAAACTCGTCACTTTTGTCGCTGAATAATTTGTTTTATTTAAATTCCGGTTTCTTCACTTTTAGGTCAATATTTCTAAACAGAACAACGCGTTTTTTCCTAAAGTTTTACTGTAAAATACTGGCAAACTGAGAGTGTTTTATGCAAAAAAGTTAAAAGATGGATTTACAAGAAAAGTCGTCATCTTTTCAGTTTGGTCTTCTTTATAATATTTTTCGATTACCCATTTTACCTTTGTATTTGGGACAAAACCGAAACAAAGTTATATTTTTCGTTTTTTTTTCGATAAAATTTAGATTTTCTCAAAAACGACCAGAGAAAGCAAAAGCGTATAATCAATATTTCGAAGGGCAGAAAGACCGATTGGGTCTATAGCCTTTTTCTGTAGGAAATAAAGATTATTTATTAATAAATAAATTTAATTGTAGATAATTATATATATTGTACCGTGGATGGCCGAGTATTAAACTCTTTCTTCAGCTTACAACTTTTATTCCACTCGGTACAACTTTAACTACGGAACAGGAAC